TGAGGAAGGAAAAGTCACCTACCTCCCTGGTTGGGACGAGCACGAGCGCGTAGGGGCCATCACTGCGCTGCAAACACAAGAGCAGGGCTCTGAGAGAAGGCAGCACTGAGCACAGCCCTTCACAACCTCCCTGCTCTCACCAGCACTGAAGGCCTTCAGTGCAAGTCTGTCCATGATATTTTAAGGTATTTCTGCCCCACAGCTTTTATAAAATCAAGTTTTTCCCATATCAATCCTACACTGCCTTCTCGTCCCTGCTGGGAAAGCTGCTCACAGCCAAAGCCAATATTTTCTTGCACACACAACTCTTGTTTCATTTTCTTGTTTCATTCCTGTGCTCCTGAGCTGCAGGGATGTTCTCCTGCTTGATGCACAGCAACAATCTGCAGGTGACAATCCAGGATGGGCTGGAAATACTTCAACCCTTCAGTCAGGATGATCTCTTTCCATAAAACTCACAAGATCTGCAGCAGCATTTCCTGGTGTATGATCCAAACTGGGAGCAATTACCCAATCCCACCCCATGCCAAAGATTCCCCACAGAACCTCTGTTTTCAGTTCTTCCAGAACATTTCTTCTGCTCTCTGCTTTCTCCACACCTGATATTTTAGCCCATTTCCAATTTATCCTGCAGCATGGAGCAATGGGGAATAGCTAACATGGATCTTGTACCATCACACATCAAGAGAACTGGAAAATCCCTTCTGTCACATGTATGAATAAAGGGGAATGTGGATTGCTTGTATGAAAAAGAGACAGCAATGACTACAGGAGCTGGATTTTATTTTTATTAATCTTAGTTTCAAAAGCAAATTTATTTAGTGCTGTTGGACCTACCTGTATTTTGGATTCCATTCCTTGCAAAGACTGCACAAGTGGAATTCCATAGGCAAGAGTTTTACCTTTTTGAAAGGGAGAAAATAAGAAAAATCTCCATTAAAAAATATATGGCAATTACAACACTCCAGAAAACCAAAGCCCCATTTGTCCCACCACTCTTGAACTGCAGTCAGAGTCTGGAAAAGTTTCTATTAAATAGGAAGTTTTCAGAATGGATGATTAACAGGCAATTCAATAAAAAGTCAATAGAAAAGAGAGGTGGTGGTACCCACTAAGATCTACCTAAATAAATGCAATTAATACACCCTAAGGAAGGACAAAACCAGTTCAACACTGACCTGAACCAGTCTGAGATCTCACCAGAGCATCTCTGCCTTGCAGGAGCACAGGAATCGTTTGCTTCTGAACACTGGGTGACAAACAAAGCAGGGCAGGAAATGCAGATGCAACACAGGATGGAATTCCAAGATTTCAACACACAGTAACTGTCTCAAAATTCTTTACAAATTCCCCACCCTCATCTCTGCTGTGCAGCTGCATCAGCTGAGGTGATTTCTAAGCAAAGCCACTGGGATGTGATAAATTCAAACCAGATGGGTTTATGAGTCAAGTATCAAATTAGAAAGCAGGAGTCCTTACAAACTCAATAACAAACAGAACAGTGGTACTGTGGTCTCCCCAAACCCATTAAATATAATGAAATAATCACAGGTGATTTGTTTTTAGAGGTAAACTGCAAAGTTTTGATATTGATTTCCTTACCTGGTCATGCTGCATATGTTTAGGACAGTGTTTATTGTGGAGATCTAAAGAGATAATAAAGACAAATAAAGGCTTTATTGTCAAACTGTTCCTTTTGTTACTTCTTGTACTGCTAAGACAGAATGAAACCTGGAAAACTGACATTTATTGTCTGCATAACTGGTCCATAAAGTTCCCATCTCCTCAAACAGAATTACACCATTGCTGGTTTTCTGTGGTTTTTTTTTGGTACTACAGCTGCAAATAATGAAGAGGGCTGGGACTGTGTCTGCGGACAGGTCAGGACATGGAACAACACCCTGAGTGACAAAATCAGGTGAAGTATCCAGGTCACCATGGATAAAGGCTCTCTGAGCTGCCCCCCACCCAAACCCCCATGGTTTTGAGGCATGCAGCCCTCCTGCCACTCACCAGGTGTGGGTGGAGGTCCAGCTGGCTGAAGGAATCTGTAGTGAAAACATTTTCTTGCAGCTGCTGCACTTCTTTTCTGAGTTAGGAGAAACAAAAACAAAACACATTATAGGGTTAAAAATACAACACCATTCTACATAATCAGCAATAAAACTTCATCTGCCAAGCAAGGGCAAGAAGTCAAGACCCTGAATTTCAAGGCATTGCAAGGGGTTTCTCCTTCCCATTTATCTAAAATACCTGTGAATTTCTGGGATGTCTGGGTTGTTTTTAAACAGGCTGGATGTCTTGATGAAAGGTTTGTTTTTCTGGCTTTCATTCTGTTTGTTGTTCAGCTGCTTCTTAGGAACAGGTTTTTGTGATGAGCTTCCCTCCTCCCTCCTGCCAGCCTCCGTGGCACCCTTCCTGAAGGTGTTTGTGGATAATTTACGTTTTCGTTTCACGGGTGGGTTTCCATGTGGTGTCTGGAGCTTCCTTTTCAGAGCACCAGATTGCTTTAAAGTGAAACAAACCGGTCAGCACTGACAGGGAGTCAACACACAAACATCAGAGCCTTATTTTTGGAATCCCCCATTCCATGATTAAGAAATCAAAGCTGCTTTCTGCAGCCACACAACTCCTACTCCAGCAGATCCATCACGACACTTCTGACGCTGCTGAAAGCCAAATCTAGTGCTCAGCCCTTAAGGATTCCATGCAACTTCTCCAGCGAATGGGCAGAACATGCTTTAAAAAATCTCTCTCTAAAGTATTTTAAAGCCTCTGCAGACGAAGCAGAGCGCTGGGAGAGCATCGCCCGCAGCCCGTCAAAGGTAACGCGGGGAGCCGGGGCATTGCCGTCTGCTCTGCCCGCAGCTCCGGGGGCTCGGAGGAGCTGGATCTGCCCGGGGAGCCCCGGTGCCGGATCAGCCCCGGCTCGGGTTGGGGAGAAGCCAAAATCTCCATTTAACAACTTGGCGGATTCTGCCTCCCTGCCCGGTCATGGTCCCGTGTGCCGGGTCCTGTGTCCCCCATCCCGCAGGGTCGCATGTCCCACACGGATCACGCGTGTGCCGTATCCCGTGTCCCCTGTCCCACAAATTCCTGTGTCCCGTCTCCCCTATCCCGCAGGGTCCCGTATCCCGTGTCCCATAGGATCCAGTGCCCCGCAGACCCCACACTCCCTTCCCTTCCCTTCCCGTCCCCTCGTACCCTGCCGAGGCCGCGCATCCCCACGCCCGCCGCCATGTCCCGCCCGCTCCTCCTCAAGGCCCCGGGGCCGCCTCCCGCCCGCCCGTCTCGTCCCGTGAGGGCGGCGCGGCGGCGGATGCGGAGCCTCCCCCCACACCGGAGCCCACCCGGCTCCCCGCCCACCTCCTGGCGCTGCGGGGGCTCCATGAGGGCTCTCCGCACCCCGCAACCCGCGCTCCCGGAGCGGCAGGGCGCGCAGGCGGCGGCAGGGCAGCCCCAGCCGGGCCCGCCGGGGGCTTCGGCCGCGGCGCGTGCGCGCGGCCCGTGAGGCGGTGGTAACATGGCGGCGGCGGCGGCGGCGGCCGGGCGGGAGGAGCCGCCGCTGGGGCTCGAGGCGGTCGTGGAGGAAGCGGCGGCGGCTGCGGCAGCGAGCGCCGGGTTCCGGCTCACGGCGGTGCGGCGAGAGCCGGCGGTGCGGCTGCAGCACGGCGCCAGCGGGCTGGAACCGCTGGCCTGGTCCGAGGATCACCGGGTGTCGGTGAGCACGGCCCGCAGCATCGCCGTGCTGGAGCAGCTCAGCGACGTGCACAGCGGCGGGCAGGACATGGTCATCCACCGCACCGCCGTGCCCGCGCCCGCCGCCGCCTGCATGCTCAAGGTGAGCGCCTCCGCCATGGGTGTCCATGTCTCAGTGGGGAGGTGGAGGGAAGAAGGAGCCGGGGAGGTTCAGGTTGGACATCGGGAGGAGTTTCCTCCCAGGAGGGGTGATCGGACTGCGGGATGGGCAGCCCGGGGAGCTGGTGGAGCCACCGGCCGTGGAGGTGTTCAGGGAACCACTGGAGGTGGCACTCAGGGCTTGGGCTGGGTGACAAACAGGCTGGACTCGGTGATCTCAAAGGCTTTTCCTACTTAATTGGTTCTGTGGTTGTTCACGATGGTGCCAAGCAGTAGGACAAGAGAAACAAGCATAAACTGACAGACAAAGTTGCACCTGAACACAAGAACTTCTTTCCGGTGCAGAATCCAGAGAGAGTCTGGAAAATCACTGTGGTCCCTTCCAGCCTAACCCATCCTGAGATTCTCATCCTCCTCTTGAGGCCCTGCCCAGCCCAGAACTTGCTGCAGGCTCTCATTTTAAAAGCATCATCCCAGTGATGTCCAGGGATTCTGAAGTTCTGCAGTTTTTCTGAGAATCACTTGAGCTCCAGTACAGTTATTTCAACACAATTTTAAGTAGGAATCTTCCTTTGTTTTGCTGCCTAAGCTGAAGGGTTTTTGCAGCAGGGATTTCTCTGGCCTTCAGGGGAATATCTGACTTTCACAAAGATGGCAGATATGGTTGAGTATCTTATTAATTAATACTTTTGTTGTTGTGAATTTGATTTTATTTTCCAAAACAATGCTGAGAATATGGAATGGAGTTGAGATACTGAGTATTTACATATTATGCCAGATATCTTTAAAAGAACAAAAGTATGAAAAAAGGCTCTTTGATTCAGCAGACAAAAATTCAGTAGCTGAGAGTCAAAACTATGCAAATTCAGGGCATTAATGAAGCTGAATTCTTTGGGAGTGACATCAATTAACCAGTGTGTTACTACAGGATATGAAACAACACGACATGGACTTGCTGCTTTTTTAAGGTAAAAAAGGGGACTTTTGCTTTTTTTAACTTCAACATTTATAGATTTTTAAAAGTGACAGTGGATTGGAGAGTGAAAGTACCTCCTCTCCAATGACACTAAACAAACTAATATCAAATTTCTTTTGAAATTGAAAATAGACTTATAATTTCTTTTCTTTTATAAAAGAGTGTGAAACAAATTATCTACATAAAGTATATAAAAAATTTCATTACAAAAATATAAATATGAAAAAACTTTAAAAACCTTTAAAAATCAAAGCAACACCAATGTAGTGTTGGTTGTAATTGAAAAAAATTCATTACAAAAATATAAACATTAGAAAACTTTAAAAAAATTAAAGCAACACCAGTGTAGTGTTGGTTGTGATTGAAAAAATTCATTTAAAAGTATAAACATTAAAAAACTTAAAAAGTCAAAGCAACACTAATGGAGTGTTGGTTGTGATTGAAAAAAATTCATTACAAAAATATAAACATTAGAAAACTTTAAAAAATTAAAGCAACACCAGTGTAGCATTGGTTGTGATTGAAAAAATAATTTAAAAATTAAATTATTAAATGTTATTTAATATATATTAGATAACATAATTATATATTTAATGTTATTTAAACATTAAAAAACTTTAAAAATCTTAAAAAATCAAAGCAACGCCAGTGTAGTGTTGGTTGTGATTGAAAAAATTCTTTTAAAAATATAAGCATTAAAGAACTTTAAAAAAAATCTTAAGAAATCAAAGCAATGCCAGTGTAGTGTTGGTTGTGATTGAAAGAAAATCAGTACAAAAATATAAACATTAAAAAACTTTAAAAAGCAAAGGAACGCCAGTGTAGTGTTGGTTTTGATTGGGGATGCTCTGTTTGAACAGGAAATTAATTCCAGGAAAGTCTTCCTAAAATAACCAGCTGTACAATTGTTTCAGAGGTTCTTTTTGTTGTGTTTTAGGTGGGCCCAAAGAAGGAGGTGGCTGAGTGCAAGGAGAAATTCGCCAGCTCAGTGGATCCCACCGTCAGCCAGACCTTCATGCTGGACCGAGTGTTCAACCCCGAGGGGAAGTCCCTGCCGCCCATGCGCGGTTTCAAATACTCCAGCTGGTCCCCCCTGGGCTGCGACGCCAACGGGCGCTGCCTGCTGGCTGCCCTGACCATGGACAACCGCCTGAGCATCCACGCCAACCTCAACCGGCTGCAGTGGGTGCAGCTGGTGGATCTGACCGAGCTGTACGGGGAGCGCCTGTTGGAGGCTGGGTACAGACTCTGCAAGGCCGACACTCCCTGCGGGGAGCTGGGGGATTTCCCTGAGTTCCAGCGGAGGCACAGCATGCAGGCTCCCGTGCGCATGGAGTGGTCGGGCATCTGCACCACCCAGCAGGTGAAGCACAACAACGAGTGCCGGGACGTGGGCAGCGTGCTGCTGGCCGTGCTCTTTGAGAATGGCAACATTGCTGTGTGGCAGTTCCAGCTGCCCTTCCTGGGGAAGGAATCCATCACTTCCTGCAACACCATCGAGTCGGGAATAAGCTCCCCCAGCGTGCTGGCGTGGTGGGAGTACGAGCACAACAACCGCAAGATGAGCGGGCTGATCGTGGGCAGCGCCTACGGCCCGGTGAAGATCATCCCCGTCAACCTCAAGGCGGTCAAAGGCTACTTCACACTGAGACAGCCCGTGGTGCTGTGGCAGGAGATGGACCAGCTGCCCGTGCACAGCATCAAATGCATCCCTCTCTACCACCCCTACCAGAAATGCAGCTGCAGCCTGGTGGTGGCTGCCAGAGGCCCTTACGTGTTCTGGTGCCTGCTGCTGATATCCAAAGCGGGGCTGAACGTGCACAACTCCCACGTGACGGGGCTGCACTCCTTGCCCATTGTCTCCATGACTGCAGACAAGCAGAACGGCACGGTGTACACCTGCTCCAGCGATGGCAAGGTCAGGCAGCTCATCCCCATATTCACAGACGTTGCTTTAAAGTTTGAGCACCAGCTGATAAAGCTCTCGGAGGTGTTTGGCTGTGTCAGGACTCACGGGATTGCTGTCAGCCCCTGCGGGGCGTACCTGGCAGTCATCACCACTGAGGGCATGGCCAACGGGCTGCACCCTGTCAACAAAAACTACCAGGTTCAGTTTGTCACCCTCAAGACTTTTGAGGAGGCAGCTGCACAGCTCTTGGAATCTTCTGTTCAGAATCTTTTCAGGCAGGTGGACTTGACAGATCTCGTACGCTGGAAAATCTTGAAGGATAAGCACATTCCTCAGTTCTTACAGGAGGCACTGGATAAAAAGATAGAGAGCTGTGGTTCCACTTATTTCTGGAGGTTTAAGTTGTTTCTCTTGAGGATTTTGTACCAGTCGATGCAGAAAACCCCCTCAGAGGTCACGTGGAGACCTTCACACGAGGATGCCAAAATCTTGATATCAGATTCCCCTGGCATGGGCAGCACTGAAGATGATCAGGAGGAAGGAACCTCAAAACAAGCCAGCAAGCAGAGCCTGGGGGACACAGGCAAAGGTGTGGACATTGATGACACTGCAGAGGATTCTCTCCATCAGTCAAGTGACTCTGGAGGCCGTGAGCCAATGGTAGAAAAGCTTCTTGAAATACAGGCACAGATTGAGGCTGTAGAAATGCACTTGACACGGGAGCACATGAAACGGGTGTTGGGAGAAGTTTACCTGCACACGTGGATTACAGAGAACACCAGCATTCCCACCAGGGGAGTCTGTGACTTCCTCATGTCTGATGATGCCTATGATGACAGAACAGCACGAGTAAGTGGCACCTCTGCTCAGGGGATTCTGTGTCACCGTCACTTCCTGAAAACACAGCTGGGCTGGGAAGGAGAGCTGTGGTCATGTCATCCTTGCCAGTCAGATTCTGTAGAGCATTCAGCTTAAATTGGCCTTCCTTGATATTGTGAAATAGGAGGGAATGTAAATACAGATGTTGAAATTTGGATCATGTACAGTAAAGAATAAAGTTTTTGGAGAACAGGGAGAGGACTGGGGTTATTGTGCTGCTGTCAGTGGGTTTAGAACATGAACTGCTTGAGGGATGTTTGTTTTCAATACTAAGTTTGTTTATTCCATCATCTTTACACAAGTGAACTTCAGGTGTATTTCCTCTAGTCAGTCACACTGTGGTTCTGATGTTAGTGTGGTGTTTTCCCTGCTGGCATCACAGCCAAGTGTGGCCATCAGGAGCTCCCTAGGAAAGGGCTCTGGCACAGCTGCTGGGTTGTTCTGGCATCCAATCACTATGAATTGAACATTGGAGAGGTTGCTTTTCTTATCTTGGAAGAATCATGTTTCTTTTTTATAGTGATGAAAAGCGACTTCTAAATTGTATTTTATCTCTTCAGTTTGCTGTCACACTTTAAAGGTCCCTGGGATGTGTTTATATCTATTGAAATGTCACAGACAGATCTGATCTCATAAATGTTCTGCTATAAACATTGTACTCCCAGATGAGTGCTGAAGACATCCAGGTAATTTCTGAACAGGAATTTTTTTTTAGCACATCCACTATGACAGGCATGAGAGAAGGAAATTTGCAAGGAATTACTATTTTTAAAGTCTGCATCCTTTTAGTGTGGGACAGAAATCTTTAGGAGAATAAATGAATACTTACCTATACATCGAATTTCTTACACTTTGATTATTTGGAATTCAGCTTGTTGTGTGTCACTCTGAAATGACAGTGAGGGCTGTGTCACCAAGTGCCTCCTGTGTGTTGCAGGTGCTGATTGGGCACATCCTGAAGAAGATGAACAAGCAGACCTTCCCTGAGCACTGCAGCTTGTGCAAGGAGATCCTGCCCTTCACCGACCGCAAGCAGGCCGTGTGCTCCAACGGCCACATCTGGCTCAGGTAATGGATGGGTGAGCAGCCAGAGCTTGTTCCTCTGGGTAACCCAAACATCCTTCAGGAGTCACTGAACCACTGATAGCACTGCAGTGAAAAGGCTTGAAGCACCTCAGCCATGCTTCAGTCTTTTTCTGTCCTCTTCCATAAGAGTCAAGGCACTGGAGGTTGGATTTGGTTCTCTTAGCAGGACAGTGTTTTTGTAATAAAACCATTTTGACCATCTGTTTTTTGGGAAATATGAAGTCAGGGAGAAAGCAGGCAAGGGAAAATTGAGGACAAGTCATCCTTTGGAACATCACTTGAGGGAGGGTTTGTTCAACCTCCTTCAGCATTTGAAAACAAAAGCAGTTTAACAAGAAATGATTGAGAACAGGCACATTGAGAAGTCAGACAAATGAAATTTTAGAAAATGAAATATTAGAATTTGAAGTTTTAGAAAATGAAATCTTCCTGAAACCAGTGTGGGAGGTACATGGAGATTGTCCCTGGAGCTGTGGCAAGTCACTAGTTTGTCACAGAGAAAAGCTGTGCCTAACAGGTTTTGTGTGCTAGTTTGGGTAAATAGTCCTGGCCCTAAGGACACCCTGGTTCTTCCCTGTGCAGTAGAGCTCAAGCTTTTCGACTCCTCTACTGTATGCTAGATTTTTTTTTGTCAATGATACATTGATTTTTGACCTTTCATTTTTGTGTCCATATGCAATTTGGTACATTTGGGAAGTTTACCTGAATTTTTAAATTATTAATTTTCATATTTAATGTGGTTCATTACTGCCTTTACTCTCCTAAAGATAAAACTTCTTGTCCTTTCTCAGGTGCTTTCTAACCTACCAGTCGTGCCAGAGTTTGGTGTACAGGAGGTGTTTGCTTCACGACAGCATTGCACGGCACCCAACCCCAGAAGGTAAAATGTTCCTGGGGCCAAAAGGGGCAGGACTGGGGCTTTTTAACTTTGATCTACAAAATGGCTTGAATTACTTTCACTGACTTTTAGGCAGTTCCTATGTGAAGCTTTGCATTTCACAGTGTCCTGGCATTAGTGAGGGGTTAATTGCAAATTAATAAGTGCAGAAATTGAGGTATAAATCCCACATTGGAATGAAATCTGGGTAAACCCACAATCTGTGCTGGGATGCTCCAGCAGTTAGTTTGATATTCAAGTTGAATATATCAGCATCCAATTCTGCAAGAGGGATAAAGAAACAGGAACCAAGGGCTATGTTATGAGAGGGATCTAATTTCAGTTTAGAAAATAAGAACATTGCAGTTGGGTCATGATGATCCTTTAAATTTTTTTCCTATATAGCTATGAGCATGTAAGGATAAAGCATGGAGTGTTTCACCTTAATTTTGTCCCCTTCTGAGGTGGAATTTAAACTGGCATAACTGGAAATTTCAGGGCAGAAACAGAGTTGGATTTCACTGAATTCTCAGTCACTCCTGCATGTGAATATATAGAAACTGTCCAGGATTCCTGTTGAGTTTGTGCATCTCGGGTGTCATTCCTCTGTTGATCTCTACCTCCAGCTTTAAACAACTTCTTTTCTTATTTGCAGATCCTGAATGGATCAAGAGGTTATTGCAGGGACCTTGCACCTTCTGTGATTCTCCTGTGTTCTAGAGAAAAGCTGGGTCAAGACTGAAAGCATTTTCTCTACTGCATAAGCTCCCTTCAGCCTGGGAGGATACAGGGACAGGAACACAGACTCTGCACAAGGTGTTCTCCCTCCAGCACAGCCCTGTACATAGAACATCACAGGTCCTACAAACTCCTGAAATCCAGAGCTCATTCCATGCTCCAGAAACAGGAATGCACCTGGAAGAGCCAGTTTAAAGCTGTTTGGAAATGCACCCAAGGAAGCCTCAGCAGCTGGACACTGACAAGGAACTGAGGGTTGAGCAGAGTGGGAATTGTCCTTTCTGCCTGTCAGTTCCCAGAGCTGGGATGGGAACAGCAGAGCTGCCTCTTGAATGGACTTGGTGGGTAGAGAAGGCTCCAGCTTGCAGTGCTCTCCTTTGCTTTGTAACCTTTACTGTAGAACATGGAACTCTCCAGATAATCCATGGTTCCAGAGGCTTGCCCAGAGCAGCAGGTGCCAGGTACAGCCATAGGAGAGAATTTGGCCATGGCATGAATTTCAGTGAAACTCTGCAAGAGTATCTGCCTCAGAAATGTAACAGTGTCTCAGTCAGAAGGGTGATATTGGCTGCCTGGCATCAGTAAGGATAATTTTAAAATATAATAATAATTAATAGCAATTAGCTTAAACACTAATATATATACATATATATATAAAATTTCCAATGCTCTTAAGTCTCTTGCCCCACTTTCTTTTTCTGAACTAAGTTCTAACTCCTTCCCAGCTCTTGCCAAAGTATTTGCCTTTGGTTTCACTTAACCCTCTACCAAGAGGAATCCTCTTTTCCAGAGAAACTCAGTTACCAAAAGCATTAACACTAATTACCAAACCAATTAACACTACTGTCAATTAAATTGAGAGTCTCCCTCATACAAAATTGAGTTTCATACAAATCTGACACACAAATAAGCACTCCCAGCTGAGAGATTTTGTTTTCATAATAGCTCAGTAAAAAACCCCAAACAAACAGAACACCCCAAACCCAACCCCACCATGGCTGACATGCTCTGGGTACGGAGGCTGGTGAAGCTCTTCGTGTATCCCAGACTGGTTTGGATGGATGGGACCATAAAGGTCATCTCATTCCACCCCTCCATGGCAGGGACACCTTCCAGGGTGCTCCAGGCCCTGTCCAGCCTGGCCTGGGACACTCCCAGGGATCCAGGGACAGCCACAGCTGCTCTGGGCACCTGTGCAGGGCCTGCCCACCCTCACAAGGAAGGATTTGTTTCTAATATCCCACCTAACCCTACTGAAGCCATTCCCCCTTATCCTGTCACTCCAGGCTCTTGTAGAATCTCTCCATCTCAAGTGGCTGAATCCAGAAATTTATTTTGCCTTCCAACTGTCCTATCAGAAAAAACATCTTTTTTTGCCATCTGTTCCTACAGAGAGCAGAATCCTTTTCAACCTCCTATGCAGTGTTAGAGGAATAATACCTCCCAAATGTGTGTGGTTACTTGGTACAGTTTGTCTTGTTAACTTCAATCCATGCTGTCAAATAACCCTGAGTTTGTGTATTTCCATTCTGCAGAGTGCCAATGGCAGAGGTGTCGCCCTGTCTGTGATTCCTGACACTTCCACTGTGTGGGAAGTGCTCCACAGCCCTTGAGAAATCATGGAATTGTGCTGACACTCTCAGTGTCCCACCAGTGCATGTGTGATTGGTGCTTGTTTCCTCCGTTCAATGACTATGCATATTTTGTTCATGTTCCTTCAAGTTTAATAGGAGCAATTTTTTTTTCAGCAAACATTAAATTCAGCTGTCCTTCTGCTCAGTGTCTCATGCATTAAGCATGATCATGCATTGACTGAGAAGAACATAGAAACAGCAGAAGCACATTCATCTGTAAAATAATTAGCCTTGTTTGTAAATATCCTTGGAAGTGATACCATAATTGTATTAAAGAAACATTTAGTTTTTTATTGCTGTGCATTGAAAATGGAAATTACTTCAGTGTGTCTGCTCGTGTTGGTGTCCAGTAAAACAAGGAGTAACCTTGATACCCAATGTGTGTGAGTTTGGGGCCAGCTCTGGTACCTGGGACAAAACCTCCCAGTGCTGGTGGGGCTGGGGGAACAGAACATCCCTTTGCATATGAGCTGAGTAGGATTGGGGTTTATTCGTGGTGGTTGAGAAGGTTTTTTAAATGGAAGCTGCAGGTCCTTGCCCTGGCAGCTGTGACAGCTCATCAGTAAATGTTCCAGTTTAGAAATTCTCCTGCAGAACCCTGTCCCAGTGCTTCCAGAAAAAGTCAAAGAACATTTCTTTGGTCATGGCTTAGATACCGTAAAAATATCCTGAGCTACTGAAATGTTTAAGTCTGGCTGACCCAAAGGTTCTCATGATAACAGATTTAGATTGGTTCTTGCTGATCATTTCTGGCAGTTCTCTTGAATTTCCCTGGACTGTTTTAATGCTTTGCCATGGAGAGCTCTAGCACACCTCACATTAACATTGCAGCATTAATGTTCATTTTCCCTGTCTTTCAAGGCACTCAGTCTGCCATTGCCAGTTTATTTAACCTGGTTTCAGACTTCTGGGAAAATGGAATTTTAAAGCCAACAATGTTGTCTTTACCTGCCAGTGGAGATCCTTTAGCAAAAAGCTTTCACTCTTCACCCTGACCTGTTCACAACAGGAACAGAGGAATTGGGATTTCATTTCTGTGTAAACCAGCACTTGTCCCTAAGAGCATTTTTAGCCAGAATAGCAGAGCCCACCTCACTCAGTAACATTTAACCCCTGGTGCTGACCTGAGTGGGTTTGGCTGCCCAGCAAGCACTGAGGCTGCTCCAGGAATCTTTTTATGCCTCAGATTTGTGAGGGGCAGTTGTGGGCACTCAGGGGTTGGTCCTGCTCTTGTCCTGATCAAACCTTGCTGTCACCTCACGGGGAAGGGGAGCAAGGAATGAGCGCCTGCTGCCAGACCCTTGTGTTATTTGGCCATTATCAGAGTTGCCTCCTGAAAATAACACATTTCCTATCAAGGCCCAGTCTGTTTTGAGACGCCAACTGAGCTGTTCAAAGAACAAATCCCACAGAATTGGAGTTTATCTCCATAAGTTTTTGCCCAAGTTTTGCAGGATACTTCAAACAAATACTTGGAAGTCAACTGCTTCACCATTTGGTGCTGAACACTTTGGCTGTTCAAGGACCCTCATCTGCAGAGGGAGAGCAACATTCCAGCAGAGACTGAGGGTTCCTGATGCTCTCTCTTTTTTTATAAAAGGATTATGATACTTGCAGCTGAGAATTAACAGGCAGAGATCCTGTTTGCCCAGAGCTAAGGTGTTATTTCCTTGGTGAGGAGCTTCTGACAGAATTTAAGATTTGCTGCTCATGCTGGTATCACACTGGGAGTTAATCCCTCATCACTGGGATGAAGAAATCATCCCCTTGGCTAATCCAAGTTGGATGGATAAGTGGAACAGCCCTGGACTGTACAGTGCCTTGGTACTAGGTGATATTCTTGGAATTTAGGGGGGAGTTTGGGGTCACAAGGACTCAGTCCTGTGTCTCCAAATTACACATGGGTGGTGAGGGACCTCATTGCTGCCTTTTACCTCAGTTCACTTATGGCTCTGGGACTTCATCATTCATCACCCTTTCCTTTGGCGCTCCCTCATCCTCTTAACCCTATTGTGTATTTCTAGAGAGGAGATACTGTGGCTGTCAGTGCATACATAAAGACAATAAATATTCCTTGGGAGAGAGGAGGAGGAGGATGAGCCATCCCTGCCCCTCGGAGCCCTCACACAGAGCAGGCTGGGGTAACTCCATTCCCTGAGCAGCACCCAAACCTCACAGGGAAAGGTGAGAGCAGGAAAATCCTTGGAGAGCTCCAGGGTCCCTGCAGAGGTGCTGCTGGAGGAGGGATCTCCTGCCTGGGGGTGTTCAAGTGCCCTTCCACCACTGAAGGATCTGTCCAGAGCTGGTGGACACCAAACTTTGTGGAACAGTCGGACAAACCAACCTTCTTGCTAAACTACATAATTAACAGCAAAACTTATTAAAACTTCCAGCACAAGCTCCAGGCTCCCTCTCCACAAAGTGTCTCTGGGAAGCAGGGTGATGGAAGATGTCCATTCCAGACCTGGGCAAAGCTGTGCAATCACTAAAGTCTGATCCCTGCTGTGCTCCTACCACCTCCTCTTCACCTTGTTTTTCTCATTGCTCAACATTTGTTTTGCCAGAATAAGATGCTAATAAAATCACGCCTAGTTACCAAATTGCTTTTCAAGTGTTGCATTCCAATTATAAAAGCCTAATTCCTCCTTCCACCCACTGAACCTTCTTGGTATTAACAGGCTTTACTATGCAAAGTCATGCAGGGGCTGTTTCGTTTACAGTAATTAAATGAATGTCAATTGTTTTAGTTGTTTCTGAGGGAGAGTTCTACATGAGTATTAGCATGTTCTGCTAACCCTGACGTTCTGCACTTCAGGCCTGCTGCAAACCCTTGGGGGTTGACCACTGACCTGAGACTCCTAGCCAGACATGCCAAGTGCATCTCAATGAGTCTGAGCTCTTTTGCTCAGTTTCTATGGAACCAGCGGAGCAGAACTAATATAGCATCCGCATATAGATGAAAGAATGAAGAGGAAAAAGGGCTTTACAGCTAAATTAATTAAGCAGATGTACCTGTCTAATTAAAGATGCACTGTCCCTTTTGTACCCTAGCTGCAGTACAAACAGTATTTAAATACACTCTCTACCCATTTCATCTATCAAAATATTTAGTAGGAACACTCAGATGAAGGTGATATTAGCAAGATGAGCTTCCCATGTATTATTAATAGAAGGGCTCCCAATTATGCATGGATGCTGCAGCACATCTTCATAGCAATGGCAGAAAACCCAGCTGCCCAAGCAGTCACCAGCCAGCACATTTGTAACAGGTAGGGCTGTTAAAGATGTCCTTGCCCACTGAACACAGGGGTTTTGGCTGGCCCCTGTGCCTGGGAGCAGCCTCTGCCTCAGCCGGGTGCTACAGGCTGCAATTTCTCAGCTCAAGAGGCACCAGGACTCAGGTTGCTTGGATTTGGCTTTCTTAGGTGTCAAAGATATTTATTCTGAGACTTTTAGAGCTGCCCTCAAGGCCAGAAAGTCCAATTCCCATCCATCAACACCCCTCTCCTCCCAAAAGTATAAAAAAATCTGACTTTAAATTCTCACAAAATAACACAATAACCCCACTGCCACCTGGACAACTGGGGTCTTTCCACCTGAAGTTACCCTACAGGAGCAAGAAGGAAAATTGGCCTGGACATTTTTCATTTCTCCATATAGATTTAGACACACACAGCCAAAGGCAAGAACAAAGACCCACACATCTACTGACAGCAACAGGACCAGAGGAGTCACCAAAACCCAAAAACCTGTTCTCTCTGCCTGAACCTTCCCTCAGGATTCCAGGAGGAACCTGAAGCTCCTTCCCATGCCCTGGCAGGGGGAATTCACACTCACAGAGGGGAGAAACAGAGGGAGACATAACAGAGGCATCCAACCCAGGTCTCTACCACAGCACAGATCACTCCCCTTTCTTAAAGGTTTTCATTGCTGCCATACCCAGCCAGAGCAGGAAAAAAACCCCAGAAATACGCAGAACAGAAACACCAACATGCCCAGGCACAGCTCAGCCAAAGCAGCCATAGGCTGGGAGCTGTTACCCCAGGAAAAGAGAATTTAGGGACCCACCTGCTCCTGCAGCTCGTTATGTCCTTGATTGGGTTCTGCAAGTGATGGAGCTGCAATCAGCTTTCCATGGCTCTGGGTATCCTGTCCAGCAGAACGGGGATCTGCAGAGGGTTTGTCAGCACTTTTTAAATAATCTGAATTAACAGGGGAGTTAAAACCTCTGCCCCAACCTCAAACACTGTGGAGAAAGCTCAGTGCAGAGCTGGGAGTTTTGTTTTTCTCTTTGCTTTAGGGTTTGCTTGCAGGGACAGAGGGAGGCAAGGAGTGCCTGGGTGGTTTTGGTGGAGAATTAAGACACAAACACATCTAAGAGGTTTAATACTCCAAACTGGCTTCATGGGTCTTGCATAGTGAAGACAAAACTACTATTCAGAAACAGGAAAAAAAAATTTGAATTAAACACAGGACTTCCTCAGCCACAGTGTTTCCTATCTTGCATCATGAAACAAAAGCCAAAAACTTTCCTCTAAAGCCCAATTTCTTACCCTCTGTACTTCACTCAGCCTTGGTGAGCTTCAGATTTAGCACAGCTTGGCTGAATTTCCCCTCCCTGCTCATAACCTGCCACTTCAACAACCAGACTGCAAATATTACAGGGAAAAATTTAAAATCAACTCTTCCAAAAATCATCCCTTTAAATTTTAAACTTCTAAGGTTTTCTACATGGAAGGGGCTTAATGATACAGCTTTCTATGAACTCAAAGATAACATAAGGGTCTTGGTCAGCATTGACATAAAAGGCATCTTGGTAAAAATCCTCCAGGGCCTTGACATTGCTGTAGTAGATGTTCAGGCGCTTCTCAATGTTCTCTTCCTCATCCTTGGGGTTCTGCCTGAGCCTGGCCTGGATCTCTGGGGTGGGAGCTGGTCTGAATGTGGTGTGGTACCTGCAGAGGAGAGGAAATGCCACAGATTCAGCTCAGCCTGGGGACACAGCAGCACCTCTGCAGGAACTCCATGCTCTCACCCATCACAGTCCCCTGGCCTCCTTCTGCTCCAGGAGGGGATTTAAAACAAAGATTGGAAATTTCAGGGCAGGTAATCTGTCATTTCTGCCATCAACAACCCTGGATCCTCAAAGGCCAAGGGTTTCTCTGGAGGTGACACTGTAGAGTTCATCTGCTCCACACAAGGAGAAATTTCTATCACATTACCCAGGTTCAGAAGCATTTCCAGATCTTTTACTTGTAATCTTTGATTCCTGTCTTTAAAAAAGCATCTAAAAACCCCTAACCTTAAACATAAACACAGCCCTGTGTCCAGCATTGCTGGGACCTGTCACTTAAACTGTGTTTAAGGCTCTTGGGCATTTAATTGCTAACATCTTGATGTTAACTGCTAACATCTTGATGTTAATTGCTAATATCTTTATGTAGTAGCAGAAGGCAAAAAGAGGTTAATTCACCTGAGATAGGTTTTGGTTATTTTTGCTTTTCCAAATGCCAGAATTTGGCTTGCCTCAATCACAGTTGTACCTTCCCTCAGTTACTTCAGCAGAAAAATGGATTTTCACCCTCAGAGTCCTGTAGCAGGGCCACAGCCCAGCTCAGCTGACACCAAAGGAATTCTGATGATGTTCCTGCATTGCCAAAGGCTCCCAACAATCTCTGAAAGTTCCTTTGCAATCAAGTGTTTAAATTCCCTGTTAGAATTGGTAATCCTAACTCTGAGTAAGTATCTCCTCTGCCCTAACACAAAACCAGCTTTTCCCTCTTCCTGTACAGATGAATTTCCTGAAATTTGGGATATTTTGGGATATATTCCTGATAATTTTGGGATAATTTTCCTGATATTTTTTGCAAAACCAAGGAGACAGCAGAGCCTGTGTCTCTGCAGAGCTGCACCCAACGATGTGGACACAGAATTCTTCCACATGGGAATAATTCAGGACACAGCTGAAGGCCATCCCTGCCTGCAGCCAGAGGGGCAGGATTCACACATACCAAGGATCAAACCCAGCACCTAAAAGAATTCAATTCACGGAGAATTTGTGAGGAATAAACCCCAGAGTGAGGGAGAGGGAAGCGTGTGAAGTGGAGCAGATCCCGAACAGCCTAATCCTAATGAGAAGAAATGCAAAGATGTGGGAATGATTTGCTTCAGCCTGCTCCTTTCTGCTCAACAACCACATTGCTCATTACCAAAGCAAAGAGAGCAGTTACAGCAAATCACTGCTGCTGTCACAAGTTAATGCTGCACCTCGAGTGAGATGTCTGAATAATCATCCAGCACTTTGGGACAAATCCACTCCTTGTGGCCTTAATCTTGGAGGGTTCAGGATTTGTCTTTGATGCAACAGGATGCTCTCAGCCTTTGGAAAAGCAAAATAAGGGTTTAAAATTTATGTGTGGGGAATCATAAAACCAAGCCACAAGTTGTGAACACAGCCAACTCCAGCAGGTATTTAGGAAGGTGAATTTATTTGTGACTTGTTCCCTGGACATGAAGGGTGGAGAAGGCAGGAAAGCTGAAGGTCACTGGTGAGACAAGGGGATGTGACACCTGTGAGAGGAACCAACCTTACAGTGACTCAAACAAGTTTGTTTGACTGAGCAGGGAACACATCAATACCTCCCAGCACACAGGGCCATCACAGGAGCCTGGGGAAGCAAAATGCAGCAAATTTTCCATTTTCCCCAGCTGGGAAGCCTTCAGAATTCCCATGGGAATGTCTGAAAACCATCTGCATTTAGGCTGGATTTCAGACATCTTCCCTCAGCATTATTTTCCCAACCAATTGAGTTACATTAAAATGCCAGACCTGAGCAATTTGCTGCTGTAGATTTCAGGCACCAGGATTTAAATCCCCTGCTCTGAGGAGCTGCTGCTGCAGCAGGAAGGTGGGCTGGTGCTTCAGGAGCTATGAAAGTTTTAACTCTTCTTTTAAGGAATCCCTGAGCAGGAGTAGAGCATTCCTGAGCTCCTTAGATTGCTAAGGAGCCTTTTTGGTGCTTTCATCTCCCTGGCAGTGAGGAAAACGTTAGACATGAGGCAGGAGTGCTCACCTCTCCCCAGTGACAGGATCAGTTCTCCTCTGGGACAGGCGCTCCATGATGGACTCGTAGGGCAGATTAAAGAAGAACACCCTGAGGAGAACACAATTAAATCAATTAACACCCTGAGAACAGCGCTGGGGTGTGGTGATGTTCACAGGGGTCACAGGACGAGGGAAGAGATGAGAATCTTGACTCTGTGTTTCAGAAGGCTGATTTATTACTTTATGATTTATATTATATTATATTATATTATATTATATTATATTATAATCATATCATATATCATATAATATATCATATCATATTACATTACATTATATTCCATTATATTACATAATATTATATTACATTACATTGATATATTAAAACTCTACTAAAATAATAGAAGAAAGGATTTCATCAGAAGGCTAGCAAGGAATAGAAAGGAATTAATAACAGAAGCTGATGACTCTCAGAGAGTCCAATCCAGCTGACTGTGATTGGCCATTAATTAGAGACAACTAACATGGACCAATCACAGATGCAACTGTTGCATTCCACAGCAGCAGATAATTATTGTTATAATTATTGTAATTATTGTTGACATTTCGTTTCTGAGGCCTCTCAGCTTCTCAGGAGAAAGGATCCTGGCAAAGGGATTTTTCAGAAAATATCACAGAGACACTCATGACCTTCAGAGTGGGAGTTAATCCTCACCAAAGGCAGAGTGGCAGTGAGGGTCCCCCCAAAGCTGCAGAGTCCCAGATGTGAGCACAGGATTCCTGCACAGCCTCTCCTCGTGTGTTTGGTGTGCAGGCCCAGCAGGGCAGGAGCTCTGGCCCAGGGCTGTGTGTGCTGGGTGCTCTGACAGCTCAGGTGGGGAATTGCAGCTGGAGCCTCTCCCAGTGTGTCCCTGCTCACCCCCCCAGCACTGCCCTCTGAACTTCTGCAGATCCTCTTCCCAACCCGCCCTGCACACAGAATCACCATGACCCCAAAGGTGAATAAAAACCTCTGCTGCTCCTGTCAAGGACAGAGAAAGAGCTTCCCTGCCAGAATTCTGCATTTCTCCAGTGCCCATGACAGGGATTTTCCTCTGGCTGTTTCAGCCCACATCCACTCCTTTTGCCCTTGTCTCCCCCAGAGTGAATCCTCTGCTCTCCCATCCCTCAGAGCAGGATGAGTGCTAGGACAGCACTCAAACCCCCCTGGTGCTGCTGACAATTCCTGTCCCCTCCATCAGCACTGCCAGGGCACGGGGAGCAGCTCAGCACGGCTGGGCCTTGCTGGTGATGCTGCTGAAAGGAAATATTAATGCTGAATGCTTCATTTGGAGATCAGAATCTGCAGTTCCCATTGAGTCTGGGTGAGGGGCAGCCCCACGGTGCCACTGTGTGGGTCCCACACCAGGAACAGCTTTTCATCACTGGGGGATGGAGCAGGACTTGCCAACGCATTTCAGAGATGACACAAATGAGATGGATGAAGGATGCAGAACCAGAAAACAAGCCCCACATGCACCCAGACACATCCCACTGTTGATATAAACTGCTGTGCCCATCCCACATTGATTCCTTGTCTTTTTGGATCATTATAGTGCTCCTGTTAATTTTATATTTGTGCTCAAAAGCTCCTCAGCAGAAAATTGTGGACAAACAGCTGAGAATGAGCAGACATGAATCCCCTGTCGCTCAGCTATTGGAGACTGGGGCAGATCTGCACAAATATCAAATTTAACAATTAGCTCAGAACAAAATAGAAAATAAGGCTCCCTTTGAACATATGAATAGAATTTTTCCCAGTGAAGCACACGCTGAAGGCTGTAAATACATCTTTCTTTACAACACACCTTCTCCTGCTGCTGCCTTCAAGGCCAGGCTTCCTGTTTTCATTTTTGTCTGCTTCTCACAGGAGATACTGCGTGGTTTAGACATTCACCAAAGGAACATTTTACACTGACTGGGTGGGATCAGACCAGATGAAAGGCTGAGCTTTACCTTGGCATGCACATAGCAGATTACTAGAATCCTTTGTAGGATTTAAAGTTATGAAAATCATCTCTCTTTTCAAATGTTTACAGATAATGACTTCTATTCACACTGTGGTAACAAAATAACAGCCAGGAATAAAACATTCAAGATCTTGGAGATTCCTAAGACAGGAAAAGAACAACAGTTTCAACACTCTTTTATCCCTTACACTCTTAACATTTTGTTTTTCTTTGTTTCTGTTGCCCAACAATGGCACAAAAACGTGATTGTCACAACAGGTAACATCTGATGATGTGTCTCAAGATGAATATTCTAGTAGAGAGGAACAACATTTATACAGTCATGATAATTGATAGAGCTTCCTATTATATCCTGAGCTAAACAAACCCACTGAAGGATTAGAACCTGGCATATCAAGAAAGCTTGTCGTAATTCATAGTTAGGAACACAAAAAGTATTATGGGATTTGAAACACAAGAGCCTAAAAAACTCCACTTAAAAAGCTGCCAACAAAATGAACTCTGAAAGCCTTGTCTGAGGCTCCCTTCTTTTCCAAACAAGATGCTGCTTATTATCCAGCCTGGTGTCACCATTAAAGAGGAGAGTGGGGGAGATGTGGGAGGCTGCAGACATCCCTGCTAATGTGCATTTCCTTTTCCACATCCCTCTTAACGTGCATTTCCTTTCCCCCGCGTGCACTGTGTAACAGCACACACAGAATTCACTGTGCAGCAGCACAAACTCCCAATCCAAGGGTCCTTGTGGTGCAAGGTGGGATCCTCACCCTGCCACTCCACACATCTCCCACTGATAACAGAAAACAACATTCCCCAGGGCTGTCAGTTTAAAATCCTTCAGAAGCAAGAGAAAAAAAAAAGATGAAGGGGAAAAGCACTGACAGAACTACAGTCTAGACTTAAAATACTTCCAATTAGAAAGCTTTATTACCATTTGGAAGGAGACACGTACCCCACACAGTCTATTAGGCAGCCCCAGGAGGTTTACTCACAGGAGTAAAGCCTATTTCCATGGATGCAGGCTGGGAAGTGCTACCCTTGGCTATCTGATCCATCTCCTGCAGCTCCTCAAGGTGCTTGTGAGCAACATTTGGCCTCTGTCCCTTGCTCAGGCTCCTGTGACTCTGCTCAGATGACAAAGCTGACCCTCCAACTGCCCAGGTAACACATTTGATGGATTTCTCTTGGAAATCCTCATAACACAGAGGGCTGCACCTGTAACCTCGATCCAGCAGCAACTGGAACAACTCCCTGCGAGTTCTGGGTTCCTCTCCGAGCAGAGCTTGGCCCCTTTCACAATTGTTTTGGGGCTGGGTTCCTCTCCAAGCAGAGCCTGGCCCTTTCCACAGTTGTTCTGGGGCTGGGTTCCTCTCCAAGCACAACCTGGCCCCTTCCACACAGCAGGCGTGGTTTCCTCACATAAATGCATCCCCTGTAAAGCTCACTCTAGGAAACAGCCAGGCTTTGTATGTTGTAATGTCACAGCTCCTATCAAGGGGAAATATGAAACAGATGTCATCAGGATTGGTAGACAGGGAGGAGAGGAAACACAGCCTGATATCAAAGGACACGACATTCCCCTGCTGGATGAGCATCCAGCACAGTGCAGCAGGGGAGTGGTGTCACTCAGCACCCAGGGGAGGGCAGGGCTGGCCACAGGGACACCAGGGATCCTCACTCCACTGCCACAGGGTCAGAACTCACCTGTGGGCAGCCAAAAATTGCTGGCATCCAGCTGGAGGCTGCGGGGGTAACTTGGGTGCAGCCTCTGAGGGTAAATGTCCCCCCTGATTCATTGAGTGAAACCAGAGATTCCTGAGCACAGCTCTGTCCTCCCTCCTTTGTTCCATCTCCCAGGAGAGGGATATGTGGGAAAAGGTCCAGTCCTGTCAGCTTTTATAGATGATAAAACTGTGAACACAAATGTTAAAAGGCACAAAAAACTCCGTGTGTCAGAATCCTGCCTCTTCCTCACTGTGCTTGACATCATTTATCTAATCTAGTGCAGCTTCCAGATACATTAGAGAGATTAAATTCCAACAAATTAATAATGATGATGACACCTTCACTGTGTACCCAGTCAAATGAGAACTTGCTGCCTTTGGATGGTGATGAAATGTATTCCAGCCCTAGCAGCTGGAATGAAACTCTGCTTTCCTAGCAGCCATCTGGCATTCCAGAAGAGTATTCCAGCCACTCCTGGCTATTCAGACAGTGGCATCTCAGAGCCTGGAGGTCACCAGGGCATCCTGATGCTTCCCCTGGCAAAGGAGAGAGGAGAGGGAAGGGCAGGGGTGGCAGGGGTGTTATTTCACCTCAGAATTTGAGACAGGATTTTTGGAAAAATGTGTCCCAACCACGCCATAAGTGAAGGATTTGTGACCTACACAGCAGCATTCAGCTAATCCTGAGCTGCTTTTGTTCCAGATGGCAACCAACCCACTTAATCCAAGTTATTAACAACTGGCAGTGCTCAGTGCTGTCCTCACAAGAATTCATTTGGTGGTGATTTTCCTGCTTTCTGGATATAACCAACACCTGGAAGGGAAACATATTTGAGCATTGCTGTAAGAGAAGCAGGTGAGCCTAAATTCAGGAGTCCTGTGCTAGGGAATGAGGGATGCTCCTGCAAAGGACAGTCCCTTTCCAGGGTGGCACCACTGCCCTGCCAGCTGCCTGCACACCTCCAGAGAGCTGCAGCTCTGCCTGGCAGCCAGTCCTGGCATTCAGGCACAGCTGCTTCCTGAGGATGACCTAGATGGGGCCAGATGTTGGCTGTTCTAGACCTGAGCCATTTACTTGGGTCACATTCTCATCCTTGGCATTTCCCGTGGTGATGCTGGAGGAGTGGAGCCCAAAGCCAAGCCCTGTTTATAGAATTGTTGTCTGTGAAATCAGATCATACCATGAAATCAAATCCATAAATTGTTTTCATTGAAGGATGTAAAGACAACACAGGATATCTGAGACAGGATCCTGATCCCTACCTGGCTTTTAAAAACAGAGACCACTGACTTGCTTGTGGCTATACCAGGGCCAGGTCAAGCTCTGCAACAAAGTTAGGATGCTTGAATTAAAACAAAAATACACCACTAACCATTTT